CATATAGCCTAGACCAGAGAATTCACATGTGAAAATTGAACCACCCCACATTTTTAAGCAAATTCAAATCACAGTCACCAATGTGCTGCTCAAAGCCTTATAAATCATCTAACAATTTACTTCAACCTAACAAAATATCATTTTCAAAAGTTGCAAGGACCAGGGATTCAGCTCAGTGGCACTTTGATCCCTGGTACCCCCACCCACCCAAAAAGTTGCAAAACAGCACCATTAATAGTTCCCAGAGAGCTAATGAATCTAAGGCAGAGATGGATGGGAATTACAAAGAGATCACTAGACATTTTGTGCCTTCTGATCAAAGAACCTACATCTCAATGTGACAGATTCTCAATGGAAAACAGCATCTAGAAACTTCTAATATGAAAGCAGATTCTCATTCCCCAAGCCAGACATTTTAAATCAGAATATTCACACATGGTGCCTAACAACCTGTCTAAGCAATCCAGGAGACACCATGCACTTCAGAGGAACTACTGCTTGGGACTCAACAATCAACTCAGGAGAGACACAGAGGGGCACATTAAATACTCCAGAGGATGCAACTGGAAAAACCCAAACAACTGAGAAACTACAGATAAACAACCTAGGTGCCTTCGACAAAGAAAAGCTAGGCAGGGGAATGAAGTTTGTACTTTAAGTTTTTTTTTTTTTAATCTATGTCAAACAATTTTAAGGTGTAAGTTTTGTTGTGCTCCTGATTGAAACTAAATAAACATGAGACAACTGAAAATCTGAGTATCAACAAATAAGTGTAGTGTATTTTTAAAGATGTTTATCTTTCAGAAATAAGTACTTAAATATTTTAAAAAGAAATGGTATGAATTCTAGATATTTGCTGTAAGTATAATGTGGTTAGGGAATAGGAATCTGGATAGGAAAGAACTGGCCATAGGGTCCAAAGGAGTCCAGTATACTATTTTGTCTACTTCATACATGTTCAAACTTACCCTCCACACTCATTGTGAAAAAAATAACCCTAAGAAAAAAAATTTTAATATATGAGCAAATTTTATCAACTTAACAAAATCCACAGGTTTCTGTTGTGCTTTTGTTTTAAGACAGGGTCTCAGCTCCCCTGCCTCCATCCCAGGTTCCTAGGGCAGAGACACTGAGCTGGTCCCAGCACCCGGAAGGAAGTTCCCCACCTCCATCCCAGGCTCCTAGGGCAGAGAAGCTCAGCCGATCCCAGCACCTGGAAGGAAGCTCCCCACCTCCATCCCAGGCTCCTAGATCAGAGAAGGTGAGCCGGTCCCAGAACCCGGAAGGAAGCTACCCGCCTCCATCCCAGGGTCCTAGGGCAGAGAAGGTGGGCCGGTCCCAGCACCCAGAAGGAAGCTCCCCACCTCCATCCCAGGCTCCTAGGGCAGAGAAGCTCAGCTGGTCCCAGCACCCGAAGTGAAGCTCCCCGCCACCATCCCAAGCTCCTAGGGCACAGAAGGTGAACTGCGTGGGCACCAGAAGCATCCCCCCCACCACCCCAGAAATGAGAAGACACATAAACAAGCCTCAAAAACAGACTTCCAGATCACCTGCAGCAACCCCAAAGGGAAACGGGATGGAACAATCTGATACTCAACCACCTGGACTCTCTGAACTGGCAACAAAAGAGGATCTGGGAAAAATGAAATCAGAAA